TAAAGGATGCATATTGATATTGCATAACAAGACCTTCAAACACCAACGACGTCCGCCATATTGTTTTCTGTGTAACCTAGCCACAGGTAACCCAAAACTACAGAGCTACTATGAATACTAACGATTGTTTACCATAAAACGCTGTCAACACTATCGATTCCATACGAGTGAAGATCTTTTATGCTGGATGYTTGGCTTGTCAATGTTTTTCGGCAGATGACTGAATGTCGCCCATAAAGAATAAAAGTACCACAGTAACTTTCGGTCGTGCAAATGAGCGTTGTGCTCYGACAACCTTTTTAGAAATAGTTGCACCTAATTGAAAAAAACGTCGGGTCGCAAACAGGTGATATCATCGAAGCTCACCTAAAGGAATTTTAAGAAGTTCCAATCATAATTACCAGCGTCATTTCATGTTCAGCAGGCAATCTATAATGGCACTCTGCCATACTGCAAATGTTTGCTTTCCCATGCTCCCTTTCGGTCGTAGCTTTGGTAACGTAACCTTTTGGAACACGACAACGCTTTTTCAAATAGGTGTACTATATACTGAATGTGAAAATGATAAAAATACCGTGTAGCATTCGTTCATAGTTAGTAGAGGGAGACTAACTATGATTCGTTCGATGGTCCAGTGTCAATCAAGCTTGACACAAGATGACTTCAATAAACTTTGTATAATTATAGATTATATTAAAACTTTGAAATTACGAAAAATACTTTTAATGTCGTCATGACTCAGCATTTCTTATGCCAATGATTTTSAAGAGTTTATCATTATTGCCAGAAAAGAATGCGTTTTATATAGCTTTTATCTTAAGTGAATTAGCTCGTATGAATTATAATTAAAGAATTTCATAATGATTGAAAAAAAAAGTTTTTATCCGTGTCGGAATAGGGTTCTTATCGCTATATCTACCTTCTTAATGCTGGATACGATAAACAGCTTCATCAATTCATTTTTAATCAACTTTAGCAAGAAAATATCCTCAGTAATCTCTTTGGGTATTATAAACGACAGGTTTTTTTATATCAATATAGCAATCATATCATTTCAAAAAGTTCATTTCATCTAGTTCTATGACACGTAATAAATTGTGTGTCGAAATTGTGGGGATAAAATGTAATATACATAAATCAACACTGAAGAACTAGGACTTGCAAGAGAGTGATTTTTCCGGCGTCAAGCACCGCGAAACAACAACAAGACGGCTCTTATAGTGAACAGTTTCACACTTAATCTTATCTTTCGTTTCAGACGGAAATGAAAGATTAAGCGACTCATAACAAGTGTTCAAAATARAAAGTGCAAATAGTGCAAAGCTGTAGTATTTTTGTTCTTGTAGTATTGTTCTAGTATGTTTTTTTTTACCTAATTCACTTGTATAAACGCATAATTTATTGATATATAATATATACTTAAAGTCAAATCCAGAGTCGAAAAGCAAATACRTGGAGTATATATGTATTTATATATATGCTTTATAATACTGAATATATTTCTAGACTCATATTCGGTCTAGTGCACCTGCAACGTTATGCAAATACTCCGCTGTTACGTCACATAATAGTTGTCTATATAGTAAGACTTAGAATAAATATGCAGCGCAGAASTACCAGTATAGCTCTCTGGACTACACGATCATGAYGAATTCTACGGAAAAAGAAGTKGTMTGTCACTGGGACAAACATTTATTTATCCCTTTCAATGCGATGGTCATTTTGACATGTYTCGGAATAGCAATTGGGCTTGTTACTGTTATTGGTAATTTTTTGGTTCTCCTAACAATCTACAGAAAATCTTCTATCMGATCTACCCATATCTACTTTGTTGGTTGTTTAGCCTTCGCYGATCTTAGTGTTGGAGTTGTAACTGTKCCCTTCTACAGTGCCGGCTCGTTAACTTGGCCATTTCTTCTTAAAGGCACTCGTTATTTTGAGATGGTACTGGACTTCTTGATATTYCAAAGTCTTGGCGCATCTACATATAGCCTCCTCGCAGTCAGCTACGATCGTTTTGTTGCGATTACAGCCCCACTGATGTACCCTGCTAWGATGACCTCTAAAAGGGTGTTTACCTGCATCTGTCTTGTATGGATTGTAGCAACCATCATTGGAGCAAGTAGTTTTATGTTTAGYGACTATGAAAGCAGACCCTCTGTTTATTTGCTCGTCATTATYGTTGCTTTTGTTATTCCATTCTTACTGGTAGCTTACTTTTATATAATAATTATCAAAATCGCAAGGCGGCAAGCTCGTCTCATTGCAAGTCAATGTGAACTGAACTTGACGGAAGAGCAAAAACAATCACGAACGAATGAGAAACGAGAACAAAAAGCAGCAATGACCATAGCTATTATCATCGGCGCATTTGCTTTATGTTGGTTGCCTAATCTAGTCATTGGGCTTATTCACTTTACTGTATCAACCTACAGYGAGTGTGAAGCTGAAAAGAGTGAACAGTTGTGGCTTGCTACGTTGCCTTTYGCCTTTATCAACTCTGCCATTAACCCAATTATTTACACAATGCGCCATAAAAACTTGCGTGGGGAATTAAAGGATATGTTAAAGGCGGCCTGCGCTAAGAGAAGTCAATAATCATTGAAAATTATGGTAAAAAGGACCAAAGGATATATGAACAAACGAAGATAAGGGTTCCCCTTAAAAAAACATCATCTACGTCCAAAACCCGGAAACATTCAATAAGGACTATTGGTTCAAAGAGTACATAAAACTTTACTGTTATTCATGAACTGCGGGATTTCTAATTTGAGGGRATAAACATACAAGCTGTTTTCTTTTATCAGGAAAGAGTACTTCCGTCAGTGCATCGATGGTGGATCCTACGGTTCTTAACCTTTTSGCACTTAGTAAATAATGGCACTCGTTGCTCTTGTAATTGGCACAGTGATTAAAACRGCTCTAMGCGTTCGCTCTCCATTTTTAGAATTTTGCTATCCCATTGGGTTTTTAAGGCCCGTGAAAGGCTGCATGCAGAGCTTTTTTGATGCTCTTTTCCTAGAGATATCTCGTAAATAAATGTAAATATAAAACTACGATACAAGCAAGAAGACGTTGTCTTATAAGGGCGTAGTTTCAATGGACGTTACACCTGCCGTTTATATTAGGCTTCAGTATTTATCAATGAATATATTCTAGGYATATAGGTAAATATTCAGCACAAGATTTAATCATTAATGCAATTATTTATTCATCAGTTTTAATCGGACTTTATGTTACAAAACTTTGTGCGCAGGATTACACCTTTGTTTTCCTTTAGCAACACAATGGCAGTCGGTCAAAAGAAGGTAATTATTATGGTATGAGGAGAAATTTGAGCAGTTTTGAACAAAAGGCTAACACCTCTTTATGAGAACCATGAGAAATGATGATCCCACTGCTTTGGCTTAACTTTTTTGTGTAACAGGAACAGAGCTTTAATTAAAATAAATTAACCATTAAGGTGTCAATGTGGATTATTTCACGTAATTAGTTGTAATASTGGTTGAAACACTRCTTGATAATAATATATCCRATGTGAATATTTCCAGTCCATTTTTGTTTTGTTTTTTTGTTTTTTTGTTGTTTTTTTTTTTTATTTCAAAATTTAGAAGGAAGCGCAACATTTAACGGTGACCATCAACCATACGAATATATCAATAAATTAACTTTTGCAAAATTTTTCAGAATTGCAGGATTGCTCGCTTTAGTTTATTCGTAATTTAATTTTAGCATAAACTATATTTGTACAAAAACCTCAATTTTCTGTTTGTTACTGTATTATTACCTTGCAGCTGCTGCAAGGCCTATCTATTTTGGGTGAATAGATAGAGATGTGTACAGCCAGAAGTATCCATCTCGCAACTTAAAGCTGAAGAAAAAAAGAATAGAAAAAAAAATAAACATGAAAAAGGTGACGATGAGGTCCGGCCCAGGCAAATATTAGCGCACAGATTGTTCGKGGGAGGAGATAGACGGACCCAAGGCGCTCGATGTCTACCCCTGAACACTATTTTAACATGTGATGAGGAAGAAGCGAAAGTTTATCATTTCGATATCCGGTAGTTTCGAAATCTAAAAGTTCACTGTCTGTTGCACACCATATATCCCCCTCTCTAATAACGCGATTTATTATACTGCTCTGAGAATCAAGTTACTTTGTTTGTTCATGCCGATGTTTGTCCTGTAACGAAAAGTATGTTGCAGGTTGTTCAGCAAAAGGTATAAAATTAACGTTGGTCATCATGCACTACACCAACAAGGACCAATCAGTTGCTATGTTATACGTGCGCGAGTTGTGATTGGTTGTCTAAAATTAGATTATCGGGACATCTGATGATGACTAAACTAATAGCGAGATGGAAACTTTTGGTCATGTAGTTCTGATGTTATGCTATATCTTTTTTTTATTTCAAAAGATTACAAACACCCCAAAGAAAACGGACAAAACCGAACAGGATTCCACTATGATTGATAACTCGTAGCTGGAGTCATGCAGTGGCGGGTCCTTTCTGGCTATCTGCTCAATTGAAATGGATAGATTTGGGGCTTCGAAAATGATATTTCTTTTAAATGAGCGATCTCGTAATTTCTTTGATTTTTTTCCCCTATCATCCCCTGGATATATAAATTCTTGGAACTATCATCAATTTGTCTGTTTTTCATTGACCATTCACATGAAACTCGCTGTCAGAAAGGGGGGTCTTAATGGAGTTAACCGTGAGCCGTGAAACGGCTGAAAAATTAGCCGTGAGGCGTGAATATTGAGGTTTAGCATGACGTTCACGGCAAACGGCAAACGGCAGAAAAGGTCACGTGATCTGCTTTTTTGGAGTTTAACATTCCAGTTTCAACGCGAGATTGGGTAGTTTTAGGTTGTCATAATCGTGAAAAGCCGCTCTTTCAAATGACTACCAAAAGCACAAGGTCAGACACGAAATTCTTAGGTCATTGGTTCAGCTCTGCCGTTAGCCGTTTGCCGTCAACGTGATGCTAAAACTATAGCGTGAGCCGTGGTTCAGTTTTGTCCCTCAGAAGGACAGTCAACTCGATCCAGGCGCGCGCTTGTACGTAATTTTTTTTGGTAAATTTAAAAAATAAAAGCTTTAGTGGGGATTTTTCAAATTTTTGGCCTTGCAGGAATTTTTTTCGTCCCTTTGGGCCGTTCAGGAATTGTTTTCCCTAAATCTTTCACTTTTCCACCCCCACCCCCTCAAAATTCTAATGGATGCGCAACCCAAACAAGGTCCTGCAGACAAGTCAAGTTAGTTCATATTGTTTTTTGACAAAATTATAGTATTTTAAAATTGATATCTTATCTAATTACTTTAAAACTTCAGAATTTATACAATTTTCAACCATTCCCAGGAGAGAAAGTTAAAGAAAAGATGTCCGCCAATGTGACTGGTGGACCTTTTTGTTTTGCTCACTCTCATGGGAATGGTTGAAAACCAACCGTCAAAATAATTGAACAAAATCACAGTAAAATGTAAATCTMGTCTAATCAAAGATACTTTACTGTATTTAGGTGTAGATAGTCTTCCTTTTGACCAAATTCAGTTGACAATTTAAAGCTTCTTCGCCGCTCGGCGTAGTGTACAATCGACTTGGCACTTAGATTTTTCACGTCTCTGGACGAACTCCCGGACAGAATGTCACGAAAGACTATATGTCCGGGAGTCAAAATAATTTTTAATTTGATTATACGATTTATACGGATTATCATTCATTCTCCTCAATTATTAGTATTCACTATTTTATATTCAATAATTATTTGATGATCAATATTGATCCATTTGTAAACTTTATCGAAGTGTGGAGCGTTCGAGTGTAATGTTGGAGTTGGAGAGGTCTTGATTGTGTCTAGTTGAATCCCGGCAAATCTTTGGCAACAGCTAGTATCTTAAGAATTTCAAGAGATTTTTTCGTGTTTTTCTCCGAATACTAGTAATGCCTGTCTGATATAAGAACTGTAAAACTAATTTAAAATGTGATGATTTGGACAATAATAACGACAATGAATTGAACAGCTTGGTGAAAGCCGTCACACTACACCGAACATCGGTATTCGGCCGCAAACGAGCACTCGGCACTCACCCCACCCCACCCCCGTCAAATAATAAATCTACTGAAGAATGATTATGCCTGTATCGTTTGCTAATTCCTGGGCTCTGATTGGGTCGCTCTATTTGGTGACGTCATATATTAGCATAGATCTTCACCGAATAGACTACCCCAATTAGATATTAGATATCTATAAGTGTCTTCATAGTACGATGGTCTAAGAGGGTGGCTAAAGGTATGCTCTAGTGGGCGGCTACCCCCTCACTCCCTGGCCTTTTGGTTAAGACTAAGTTTTATGTTCACTCGGGATAGCGTGGAAGAGCCGAAATCTCTAACCGTAACGTAAGCCGATTCGACGCCTCAGCTTCATAGAATGTCTCGGGGGAATCGTCCCATCTTTTTAGATTTTTACTTTCATTAATTCTTATGTATTCCGGGGGGGTACATCTTCTCCTGAAGTGAAAGTCCTGAGTTCGAGTCCTGCTGCTGGAATTTCTCTTTTTTGCTTGTGTATTGTTTCTTTTTCGTTTGTTCCTTGTTTTCTTTTCTTCTTTCTTTTTGCTCTTTTTCTTTTAATCTTTTTCTTTGCTGTTTTCACTTAGTTTTCTTTTTTCTAGTGATTTTCTCTTTTCATCTTAACTAGGCTCGCAAGGAACGCCTGCTACAAGTGGATGGTTACGGTCCCCTCAACATCATGACATAGTAACGAGAGGCCCCACAATGCCTTTCGTCACAAAAATGACAAAAAATGACTTTTTAGATGTCAAGGTCACGTTCATTTATTCGTGGAAGTATTCATCAAGGTCATGAACGTTTTAATGACGTTTCAATGGGAATACAGTGTTGTTTTATGTGTTCATAGTATCGCAATTGCAGATTGGAATTCGCGAAACAGGTAGCTTGAAAAAAAAAACGTACGGGACATTGTATATATTCTGAAATTTCAAAGTAATTAGATAAGATATCAATTTTGAAATACTATAATTTTGTTTAGAGTCAAATAATAATATGAATACGCTGCGATGTTAGCTGCAATTTTTTTTTCAGGAATTTTCCGTTCAGGAATTGTTTTCCCTAAATCTTTCACTTTTCCACCCCCATCCCCTCAAAATTCTAATGGATCGCACCTACCAACAAGGTAGTAATTGCAAGGTTCTACAGACAAGTCAGGGCATGGACAAAATTTGACATGTGAGATTGATGATAAAAAGTCATAATAACTGAGTGTCTATAACGTACAAGCCCGTACAACGTACAAGCCCGGGGACACTGTGCTCTCACACTCACTATCTCTAGCACAAAACAAATTATGAAAAAGTAGTGAAAAACGTATTTCAAAAATTTCGATCTACTCAACCGTGATTCGAAAAAATTTGTCGTGAGTCGTGAAATCGCCAAATTTTTAGCCGTGAGCCGTGATGAGTACCGACCACCACATTGAGACCCCCAGAAAAGAATACTGAGCCACAGCACCACGAATCATCACACATGAAGTACCTACCCCTTGATGTGTAAATCCGCTGATGTGATATCGCGGTCTCCTTGCTCCCATTCAAGATGGACGAAGAGGAGCGGATAAGCGGTGCCTCCCTCTTAGCAAGGGCTTTAAAAACACAAGGAGTGGAGTTCATGTTTGGTGTTGTAGGCATTCCTGTAATAGAAATTGCCATGGCTGCTCAAGCAGAAGGGATAAAATATATAGGAATGCGAAACGAGCAATCGGTAAAGTCCTACTGTAACACGATCCCATCCAGGGATTCTGCACTTTTTACTTTGATATTTGGGTAGTATCAAGCTGAACGGGAAATCTCGGGGGAATTTTTTGTAATGAAGGAAAGGTCTGATTTAGGGTTCGCAGGTTCAAATCTTCAACAAATCTTACCGGCCTGATCAATTTTTTTCCTAAGTTAGGAGAACCAAAATCCTCAAAACATTTCTAAGTAGCACTAATCCACATTGGGATTGCTTTAGGCTTGTTATGCAGCTTCAGCCATAGGATATCTTACTGGGAGGTACGTGGTCGATCTTCTGCACGTTGTTGTTGGTGGTGGTGCTCTTGTTTGTTGTTGTTGTTTTAATATGTTGCTTCTTCCTGGATTGGTTTCATTACATGCAAACAACTGTAACAGAAGATTGTTTATCAACAGACCTGGTGTTTGTCTCGTKGTATCAGGGCCAGGATTAATTCATGCCCTTGGTGGAATGGCAAATGCCATGGAAAACTGCTGGTAATATARTGATTAATAGGTTTCTCTATTCTTGTGCTGATACTATTATTTTATCCAGACACTTACATGCCATCATCTTGACCTTTATTACCGGAATATAATTAGGGTCTAACTCAATAAGCTTGATATTAAAAAAAACTTGCAAATGGCTGGTTAGAGGCAAATAAAGCAAACAACTTTAGTGAAAACATTGTTACTATTAATGCCTTTTCTGAACAAGGAGAAAATAAAAATATGTACCAGTATGTTATTTTCTAAAATTTTATGATATTTCAATATTTTTATCAGGCCAGTTCTTGTRATTGGTGGCTCAAGTGATGTTGACCAGGAACAAATGGGTGCATTCCAGGAATTTCCRCAGGTAAATTAGTGATACCATTGTGACTACTTGAACAGGTTTCATATGAATATTGAAAGTTTATAGTTTAGCTATCATTTATGATTCTTGGTTAAATACATTTTTCTTTGGTATCCAGGTTGATGCAGCAAGACAGTATTGTAAACTGTCAGCTAGACCAAGTAGTGTGGAACAGATAGGTTTCTTTGTTGAAAAGGTAGATTGAAAATATTTAGCAATTTTATAATAGTTAATRTTCTATAATAGTCTCCTTCAYGGTTCAATGCACCATCTTGTAGCTRTGMCAATTGCGYCAAAGTGAGAYRCCCATTGAGCATGCAATGATAGTAACCTAACAAACTTATAGACAATTACTCATCATTGTACACACAATGGACATTGATATGATGACAAGGCACCACTACCTTTCAAGAACCATGTAGAGACAATGAAGAAGTGTTACTTCTAATGTCCAATCGAGGAATATGATATCAACTGACCTTTAATTACACAATTATGGTTTATATATGTACACAGGTTTRCACAAATACAATRAATGCTTACTTAACAAAGATTAATACTATTATAACAAGGAGGCTATTATTTTATTATGTTTYTATAATAGTAAGCAGTAGTTTTAATATGATATCATTTTGTTATCATTGAACAGGCTGTCAGGACAAGCATGTATGGTCGTCCAGGAGCATGCTACCTTGATTTACCTGGAAATATGATAACAGAAGAAGTTCTCGCATCTAAGACCAGGTACCTAGAAATCGTTGGTTTTTAGAGAAATCTTTGTTATCTAGAGAAATTGTAGCTTCTTAAGAATTTTTTCACTAAGTTAATTTGAACTGCAGATCCCTACTGCTAATGTGTATTGTCAAAAAATGAAGTAACCATTACTATTATTGTTTTCTGTAATCTTTAAGAAACATACCAAAATGCAGAAATTCTCCCAGAAGTTTAGCAGAACCCAGTCATGTATCACAAGCACTGGAAACATTAAGCAAAGCAAAGAGACCCTTGATAATCATTGGAAAAGGTATCGAATACAGTACAGCATCACAAGATGAATGATCCTATATGTGCATTTGAAGAACTAGAACATGCTTTATCTCATACATATTATAAAGCACAAGCCACTTCTAGCTGTGAGGAAAACACAATTTTTTATGTTATTATTTACCATGTATATTTAGGTGCAGCTTTTGCACATGCTGAAGTTCCATTGCTAAGATTTATAGAAAGCACTGGCATTCCATTCCTCCCCACCCCTATGGGGAAAGGAGTTGTACCTGATGACCATCCGCAGTGTGTAGCTGCTGCAAGATCACAGTGAGTGATACAAATGTTGTTGTGCAATCAGTTAAAACTTGCAAATAGTGACATGATAGGGCATAATGTGATTGTGATAACAATATGCTTTTCCAGATATGTCTTAGAATTAGTGGGAGGGAAATGCAGGTTAAAACAGGCATAGAATATGTTGGCTAATCAAGTCGAGTGCATAACCTTTGTATTCTACCCAAAACTACACATGATGGAGCTAGATTCACATAGTTGAAGTAACATAATCACTGACTTTCAGGGCTTTGCTGAATGCCRATGTGATAYTTTTACTTGGAGCAAGGCTGAACTGGATTTTGCATTTTGGAAGACCACCAAGATTTCAAGAAGACGTGAAAATSATTCAGGTCASTATTCTTGTCCTGTGCACCCATTAAAACAAAGATAAAATCAACTGTAACAACRTCCCTTTATGCTTTTATGTTAGTGCTTATTCTTATGCTTGTACTAATGTAAACCAGGCAATGTCTAYGTAMATTMTTCTATGTACTAAAGCAAATTARAAWAGAATTAAATACTGCACACAAATACATTTTTTTGACAGACTAATCATGCACATTTTTCATTGATTACTGATATCATTCAGGTTGACATTTGCGCTGAGGAATTAGGAAATAATGTACACCCAGAAGTAGTGTTGCTTGGAGACCTGGGCTTAGTAGTAGACCAGGTAAGTAAGTCTTATTATTTTCAATAAAACTAGATAGTGATTTTCGTGGGCGCATTCCTCCTTAACTAATTGTATACAATACTTTATTTTGTTGTTATACACTGTAATTTTTTCAGCTGAACAGTGAAATTTCCAGACGTTACCATGGAAATGCTATGAAACATTTAGGAGGGTCACGTGAGTGGTTACGAGAATTAAAAGTAAAAGTCCAAAAGAACGTTCTCCTCAGTCAGGTTTGAGAACAATTGTGTTTTTATATTTGCGTTTGCATGTGTAGCTTGTCAGTTTTGCCACAAAACAGTAGACAAGCTTAATGACAAACTTGGAAGTTTATTCTTCAAGAGTTCTCGTTCAAGCAGTAAAATGTTTTAAATATTTGCACACACAATGCTACTGGTTGAATTCGCTACTGTACAGTGAGCATGCGCGGCCCGTCTTTTTCCCACCTTTCGAGAATCACGTGACAGTGTTTGCAAGAAGTCCGGTTTTATTTGGAAGAACTCCGGTAAATGTTATTCAAGGTACGACTGGCAATTTAAGTTGCCATCACACGAAATTCCCTGAAAGAGAAACCTGCCAAGAGTGTTTATTGAAGCAGTGATGTTGATGATATTTGCATTTTGTGTTCATCTTGTTTAGCAACTAGCAAGTGCAGATACCTTCCCAATGACGTATTATCAAGCTTACGGACAGGTAACCATAGCTACAGTCAGTCTTGACATTTTGTCACATTACACTAACAGTTTGTGCAAGTTAGGTATGATGTTATTGTCTATTTGGTGTTTTAGATCAGAGAGTTTTTACCGCGTGATTGCATCATCGTGAATGAAGGTGCAAATACTATGGACATTGGGAGAACTATGATGCCCAACGTTTTACCGAGGCAAAGGTAAGTTTTGGAACTCACAGTTGTATATTGTTGCATTTGTAGTTTTGTTTTCGATGTTTTTTTCGCGGTTTTTGTTTGTTTGTGAAAAGTTTTTAATTGAGAAMAGCTGAGCCAAAAGATAAAAATAAAGTAATTGCATTATTTCCTTCCGTTAGACTAGATGCTGGTACATTTGGAACTATGGGTCTCGGGACAGGCTTTGCTATTGCTGCGGCAATGATTGCAGAAAACGAGGCTCSCGATGACCAKCCTGCTCGAAGAGTAGTGTGTATCCAAGGTGATAGCGCCTTTGGGTTTTCAGGGATGGAAGTGGAAACCGCTGCAAGGTACAAGTAATTMTTTACTTATTCCAGCGTCACGGTTTAATTTCTAGATATTCYGGTGTGCAAAAACGAGCTCACAAAGTCCTTAGTGGCACTTAATTTGTCATTGTTGCTGTTTTCCGCGTCGTGTACCATACTAATTTCTGATTATTTTTCACAGATACAATTTGCCAATTGTATTCATGATTATAAACAACAATGGCATTTATAGTGGACTTGACAAAAAGKCTTGGGAATATGTAGATGAACCTGCAACCGAGTAAGAACATTGTCAATGATGTTATCTTGCTTCTGCAGCCGGCAAAATTCTGATTATTTTTCTAAATTTCCAGATCTCCTCCAACTGCGCTTCTTCCAAATGCAAGATACGAAAAAATTATCGAAGCTTTCGACTGTAAAGGCTACTTTGCAGAAACCAAAAACCAGTTACGAGATGCACTAACTAATGCCTTTGAAGAGACTAAACACAAGAAAAAACCGGTTTTAATAAATATCATGGTGAATACATCCGCTGGTCGAAAACCGCAGGTATGAAGGCTCACGTTTGTGTTCTCTAGTTTCTTTGTGTGGTTTAGTTTATGGGTTAAGTTTCTTTTCTTTTTATTTATTTTCAATACTTACGGTGTTTTCCTCTTTCTACAGGATTTCTTCTGGCTTACACGTTCGAAAATATAATTTCTTTTCATTTAAGCTAAAATTTTAATCAAACATGTGAATGCCGTTTTAGTCGTGGTATTAAACAGATAATCAACAACAAATTTTTTAACAAAATCATGAAATCTAGTGAAAAAAGCTATATTTGTTTAATAAAACATGATTAAAAGCTAAAATGTCAAATGAAGTCTGTTATTGCTAAACATGAGTACAGATGGCCGGCGAGGTGCACTATGGGATAGGCCGTAAATCGTCACTGCTGGAGCTACGTTGTGTTGCGTCGATTAATTTATATACTATAGTGTACAAGATTATTATTTATATTCCTTCAAAGCATTCCCTACAAGGGATGATGTTAATTTCGCAAAGAAGCTGCGTCGTCATTTTAATATTTTTCAATACCATGATGCACTGCGACTAAACAACCATGACGTCATTAGCGGAAATGTTATTAGCCACGCGGCCAATGATGCATTGGTGCAAGAGGTGCGTCGAGCATTCTTACCTGTTGTATTTCTTGTATAAGGACTATAA